ATTACTTCCCAAATAATTCTTCTAAAATAGTTTTTCTTCTTCTAATCGCAGATTTTTAGTTGATCTACATTTTTTCTTTCTACCCACATCATTAAATTCAAGCTAATAAATGGTCAGGAGCTGCCAATTTTTGCTTTTCAGTCTCAATAGAGAACAAAAGTATCTATGCTGCCTTCTGGGTGATGAATTGTTTCCACCTAATAACCTCTTTCCCATGGACAAAACATTCCAAGTTTCACACTACTCTATCATTATTTCAATGCAAAGTATTCAAATTACATTCCTTAGTTTCACCAGTGCTAACGTTCACGGCTAAGATCCTCCATGACATATTGTAGTGAATCACCCTTATTCCCTTCAGATTCCATTGGTGAGAAGTAAGTTCCACTCAAAAAAGCTTCTTTTCATGAACTGCTACTTGGTGGAACTAACTCCCAAGATGATGCATCTTTGCTCACTACAATCTTAACCTCTTCAAGTCTAGGGTTGATAGTTATCTTCCCCACATATCCTTATAAACTGTGACTCTTACTGTGTAAACCATGAGTGGCTCTTGGGCCTTATACAAAGTGAAAATTATTGTAGAAAATAAAAATATACAGTGAAATCTCTTTAATTTGTTATCCAGTAATTTGGAAGATCACAATTGTTTGTCTGTAAATTTTACAGCCATTAATCTAATATTTTCTTCTTTTCTGTGCTATGCCCTTTCAGGATGTTGCCAATCATGGCTCTCCACAATTTCCTCTACTTTTTAGCTCTTAGTAAATTTTGTCTTTTTGCAGTCTTTCCTAAACTCAATTAATCTGACATGTTATCCTTAGAAAAAAAGCATTTGTTATAATTTTTACATATTCATGTCTTGAATATTATGTCCATATCTAGTTTGGTGCTCCTGCTATATATCTCAAGATTTTTGACAAAATTCAAAGAAGGGTTTCTAATGTAATTGATCCTGACCAGGTATTCCCCATTCAGTCCTTTTCTTTGATGTGACATGACTTCCTTTTGTCTTTTCTGCAAATATTTTCATGTCAATTTTTCTGATGAGCTTTCCTCCTCACCATTTTACTTTTGAACTAGCTACATGCAACTTTTTGTCCTATCCTAATAGTTTCTTTTCTTGCACTTCTCACCTGTATTCTAATCTGATTCTGATTACTTGTTTCCCTGACACATGTAATCTTCAAAAATTTAAATGCAACAACAGTTAGCATTGTCCATCTTCCTGAACACTGTTCTTTTATTGTCTTTTCTCCTCACTAAATTCTTTTCATTCTCTTTCATTCCCAGTCATCCCTTACATCGTCGTAGCATTATTGGTTTGCTTATGGGTGAGATGATTAAAAAAGAAAAATTATACTTATTGTCTTTTAAAGTGTTGTGGCCTGTTGAGTGACCCAGAAAGAAAGACATGGAAGACGAAGGTAGGTTGAACAAAGTGTATTGAAATAACAGATATATACAAAGCAAGAGTGTTAGTAATAAGCAGATAGAGGTGTCTGTCCGAACGGTCAGGTTACGCTGTGTCTGGGTTGCTCACAGGAAGTCACACATGTTAGTATTTATGAAAGGAGGAAGAGTTCATTCTACTGTAGGTGGGTTACTACATAAAGTCCGACGCTTGATGTTTTGTTTGATCATTTTTTTTTTTTAATATGTCAAAGAAGTTTAATTTGAAAGATCTGTTTCATGAAGGTGAGGGGAAGGGAGCAGGTCACCCATGTAACAAGCTTGTGTGAATGGATAATAAAATGGTGGGGGAGGGGGCAAAGGTTTAAAACAAACATTGCTAAGGACTGCAAAGGATAGGAGGTTATAGAGAGCCATCATCACCTATGTCCTGAAGGGACACAGCACATAAAAGATATATATATATATATATATATATATATATATATATATATGCACATTTCATTGAATACGACAGACAAGGTGCTTTTATTTAGTTTTTTATACAATTTCTCACACGATCTAATATTTTTTTCTTTTTGGATGATAAATTATATAAAAACTGTCCAAATTTTCTTCTTATCCGAGCGCTTTCAGCTATACATTTAGCCATTTTCAAGAATTAAATATTTTAACTGTTAAATAAGAAATAGTTTGTTGTAGGTATGTTTTCATTTTTCAAAACACAGTCAAGATATTGTGTCCATGTTCAAAGTTAAGATTATTAAGTGTTGGTTTTTTGTTTTTATTAATAAGGCTTCCATTATTTTTAGCCTTTTTTTGCATGTAGATGATGCTATTATATTTGTGTTGTCAACAAGTATGTTACGAATAGTGTCCGGTAGGTCTCCATGAATATTCAAATGAGATCTAATTGAGCTATTTTCAGAAAGATGTAGAGTGAGTCTGCATTTCAAACATGTTGTAGTGTGGCCTATATAATTATTTACAAATTTTGATTTATCAGGAATTAAATTCCTTAATGGGCATGCTGTCTAAATACACAAATATATATTAAGACATTTTTTATGTTTATACATTCTTTTTATAGATACAAATATTTAAGTAAATGCTCTGTTTATAATAAACAAAATTAACGACATTTACCGGCCTGAATGTCCGAGAAATTTTCCTAGAAAATATGCATCCTCCAACAGGAATCGAACCTGTATCCTTTATGGAACTGTCATATAGCCTGATGTGCTTTACCGATTTTGCCACAGAGGAGCGTTTCTGTTAGCAAATTTGATTTTACTGTTTTTAAACTACATGATTTTCTCTCATACATTCATATCTGCTGGATGCGTATCCAAATGTAAACAAATGACATCACACATTATGAAATGGACAAAGTCTGACAATTATTTAAAGACATTTTTTATGTTTATACATTCTTTTTATAGATACAAATATTTAAGTAAATGCGCTATTTATAATAAACAATATTAACAACATTTACCAGCCTAAATGCCCAAGGAATTTTCCTAGAAAATATGCGTCCTCCAACAGGAATTGAACCTGTATCCTATACGGAACTGTCATGTAGCCTGATGTGCTTTACCGATTTTGCCAGAGGAGCGTTTCAGTTAGCAAGGTTCATTTTACTGGGTTTTTTTCTCAGACATTTGTTAATACTGTTTATTATAAACAGAGCATTTATTTAAATATCTGTATCTATAAAAAGAACATATAAACATAAAAAATGTTTTATATATATATATAAAGGGAGTGAAATAATTGTGTAAACAAATACTATTTCCTACTGGAAAGGGACAATATATTCACAAAGTCACTAAAAGAATAAAATATGAAGAATCCATGAAGTAGCAGTACTTTGTGAACGTTGCAAGGGTAGCACAAATATCTACAGATCGGTTTACTTTGATTTGAGCACATGCACTCTCTTTCAGTGACTGACACAAACACTTATTAAACTTTATTCCCTTTATCTACCTACCTACCTACCTACAAATCTACTAGATAATCAATTGGAACTATCCAAAGGCTGATCTCTGCTTATGTTTACCTCTCAGGAAATGCTTTACTTTGTTAACCAATTTTTCATTTACATTTCTCCGTATCTCTCTTGGTAGGTATTCCTTGATACCATATTCTAATATCCACATCATTTAAGTTAATATGTCATCAAAATTTTTCCTATCAATCATATATATATATATATATATATATAGTCATCCACAGACAAACTGTTTCACTGTATCACAGCTCATCAGTATGGCTAGTCATCCAATTGTCTCAAGTCAGGATCAAAGCCTGATATAGTTATATATTATTATTATTATTATTATATTTATTATAAGAAATTATAATAAAAAATTTATTGAAATTGCTACATGAAAGCTTTCATGTTTCAATTCTATGATTGTACTTCATCAGGCGATGGTAAGTAACTGTTGATTAAATGATGTTTTTTAATTAAATTTAAAAACAAAGTGTTACCTTTTTTTCAAAAGTTAAAGGTGCTGGGGCAGTGTTCTTTCTCTTATTTGGATACATATATATAATTTTTTTTATCACTTTAAACATTATTTTTGAGTAGTTGTGTGTGTCTCTTTCTACATATATATATATATATATATATATATATATATATATATATATATATATTTTATATATGTATCCTATTTTTATATGTATCACTCTTTCTCTCTCTCTCTCTTTGTGTGTCTTTTTTCTTTCTCTCTCTCTCTCTCTATATATATATATATATAAATAAAATAATAGTTATCTCTTCATTCAATTTTGCTTTTTCTATATGAATGTTTCTGTATATGTATATACATATATATTGCTTAAATTTTGGTTAGTCTGGCACAAGGCCACAGTACCAGGGTACCCAATGACGATCAAACTCATCATGTTAGAAACAGTCTAGTAAGATTAGTTTGAAAATAATTATATATATAAGGCAGTACCAGAAATTTCTTCACCCAACCAAAAAGAAGAGATTCCCCTGACCCCCAAATTCTAATGTTTGGTTATTTCATCAGTTTTTGGGAAGTGTATTATGTTATGAATTTTTCAGTACTCCCTTGAATTATATATATATATATATATATATATATATATATATATATATATATATAATTATATGCATGTGTGTTTTTGTGTGTGTGTGTATGTGTGGGTGGAGGAGATAAAAAAAAAAAGATAGTTTCTTCAAATTTCGATAGACTTATTCTATAGTTCCCCCATCTTCATGGTCTGAGAAGGCAATTGAAAATCTTATTTTGTTTTCAGATCCAATCTTTAAAAAGTAGCAATTTCTGTTTCCATTTTATCAGCCTATTGCAGGTTATTTAAAGCCATAAAACACTTTCAGATTGTAAGAATCTTTTAAAGATAATGATTTACTGATACAAGTCTTAATAATTAACTAGTATCTAGGAGGAAAAAAGGTGGATTCATGCCTTTCCCAAAGATATTTTGTGTCTAAGTGAATATCATTAACCTGACTGGAATTGGAACTCGACTCTCTGATTACCAATTCTGAGCTGTCATCCATTACACAACCTGCATATCAAAGCTTTCAGCTCCTGGCATTCCCAAGTGGTCACCCATCTAGTTACCAACCAGGCCTGACATTGCTTAACTTCAATGCTTGTACGAGAACCAGAGTTTCAACATGATATGACTGTAAGCCACCAGCACATTTATTTTTTTTTTTAACATTTCTGAAATTGAATGTTATCTCCCACACTATGCAAATACTGATCTTTCTTTATATTCAAAAGCACATCTTATGCTGAAAAAAAAAAATGTTTTTCTATGTCTATATTCTTTATACATACCCAGAAACTTTTTTCCCCTCTATGAAAGGGGTGCTGAAAAGACTTCAGCCTCACAATGACAGGATTACAATAAGAATTTCGATATTTGGTAAGACCTTAGGAAGTGGATTATGCCAAGCACTTTTCAACACCTAGGATGTATATATAAATATATATATCTATTGATCAATATTGATTGCTCAAAGGTACACACTTACCTAAACTTATTTAAACGCTTATTTTTACTTATACCAGCATACATAAATTTATAGGTACCTCTAGCTGTAAATTTCTCTTATACATGATTCTAACAAGGAAGCATTTCAAAACTATATACACAGCAGCTTATTTGTTCTTATTGGCTAACATTAAACTATTTTATTATCAAGAATAGAGAGAAGTAATATAAGAACTTTATATCCATATGCCAGCAGTTTGCTGCGAGTACAGATTCTGGATTATTCTAATATCCTTCCCAAATATGTCAAGGTTACCTAGAAGTTCCAACAGTTCTTTGTGGCATACTTTATCAAATGCTTTTACATCATCTCTAAAACAGATATATATCCTTTTGCATTTGTATTGCTCTGTTTGATATCATTCTAAGCATGAATAACATATTCTTTGTTTCAGTGTCTTTGACAAAGTGACGTTGTTCTTGTCCTATTTCTGCTCTAATTCTGCTGCACATGATGATTTGGTGACTATACAAAAATTGAAAGGAGTGTAAGAGAAGGACATGTTTTCTCACCAGACTTATTCAACATAGAGGCGATTATGTGAGAATCAGAAGTCCTAACAAGGAAAGTTAGTTCTATGTGTTGTGTCAGAAAGTTTTTCTCATCTGAGTCTATCCTTCAAATCTATAAATCAACCGTTCACCCTTGCATGAAATACTGCTGCCATATACTGTTTGGAGCCCCCACTGTTTGTCTCAAGGTCCTCGACAAAATCCAGAGACAGATATGCAATGTGATTGGTCCTGATCTGACATCATTTTCTCACAGATGTGCTGTTGCTTCCCTCTGTCTTTTCTACAAATACTTTCATGGTAACTGCTCCGGCAAGCTACTTTTGCTGGTTCCCAAACTGCATGAATTTAAATGTGCTACTAGGTTGGCATCTCACTCCCACCCTTTCACTGTTGAAACGGTTAAATGCAGCTGTCTCTTCTACTCCAATTGGTTCATGTCTTGCACTTCCCATTTGTGGAACTCCCTTCCTCTTACTTGCTTCCTTGATAGCTATAATCTCCAAATATTCAAATGCAATGTCAACTGACATCTTCAGATGTCTTGATCTAATTCCCCGCCCTTCTTTTTATTCTTTCCTCTATCACACCTCTTTACTCCTGCTACTACTCTTAGTGGCACTCTTGCCTTGCTTGGGGTGAAATGCTTAGAAAAAAAAAATTCATTTTTGGCAACCACAATCCTAACAACTTAAGTTATACAGATGACACATACAGATACAGAAAGGAAAGTTACAAGAATTTCTCGAGAAGGTTTAGAAGGAAAATGAGAAGAAAGGAGTAAATATCAATTGTAAGAAGATGGAGTATATGCTTAGCCACAAAAGTAACAGCTCAAGATGCAAATTAAAAATTAGAGATACAATAACCAAGTACAAGAATTTACATATCTGGGCAGTGTTTTAACAGAGGACAAAAAGTGCATCACCAAAATCCAAAGGTTAAGTTGCTTTCCAAATGCTAAGTGAAGTATTATGAAACAGGGAAATTTCATTATAAACAGAGTACTGATCTATTATCCATTACTGATATTCCTATATGACACTGAATACAACTCCACACAGATGAAAAGATATGAGACTATAGAAATGTGGTTCTACAGAAGGATGATGAGAATATTATGAACTGAACAATGACAAAATTTTAGAGAAAATGGACACAAAGTATCAGAAAGATTTGAAATTTGTAGGATGAATAAATAAGAAAATAGGGCTTCAAAAATTTGATAATCACAGGACAGATTGAAAACAAAAAGGATAGAGGAAAGCAGTGTATGAATTACTTAATGAGTGTCTGTATAAATGGATGACAGAACAGGGTTTAGGAGAGATAGAAAAAGACAAAATTTATCTAAGAGTTACAAAACACAGAAAATTGTGGAGAGCTATGATTGCACACATGCTGAAGGGGCATAACGTATAGAAGAAGATTGTGTAGCTTTTAGACATTGAACACTCAAAATTTGACATCATTAATGTTCTTTAACACACACACACACACATTATATATATATATATATAAAGAATATTATAATAAAAATGCATGAGTTATATTTAAATGATGATTTATTTCAAATTTTGAAGTTATTTAAGGTATTTTGGAGTCCTTTTTTTCAAAACCATCCAGAATTATGGCACAAATACAAGAGATATTTTTAATTCCTCTTATCATAATCATTGTTAATTATCTAGATGTTTAATTGATTTCCAGTTAATTATATTAACTGCTATCAGCAAATAGTGCAGACATTTGGGGAGATATCCACCATGTGTCGATGCATATATCCAGTGTGTGTGTGTATATATATATATATATATATATATATATATATATATATATATACACACACTCATGAGTATATATATGTGTGTGTGTGTGTGTGTGTGTTTGTGTGTATGTGTATATATATATATATATATATATATATATATATAAAATGGCTAGGTTGTCATATTTTCTTAGCACACTCATTTTCTAGAACAGCTAATCAATCCCTGTCACAGACACCTACTCAGACATATTTGTGTTGTGATTTATACTGCAACTGTACTGAACAGACCTTAGCTACACTTTCTGGGTGACAACATATAATTTATAATGATAAGCAGTTTGAACAATACCAGAGCACTAAAACCATCGGTCATGATGACTCGTGACTTTGTGATAGCACAACCATCAATGGCTTCCAAACAGTTCCATCTGGCCAATATCACCCACAAAAGGCTTGAGTCAAACCATGGGGTATGGTTTTCAGGCACTTTTCAAAGGTGCTGCATTCTGGGATTAATGAAACAACCATAGTGAGATTTAAGATTTATCCCATGTCTCATGGTCAGAAAGTAAAGCTTCTACCAATTCAGCTATGCAACCATACACAGTGTGTGTGTGTATATATATATATATATATATATGTGTGTGTGTGTGTGTGTGTGAAATGAGAATGAATAAAATCCAATTCAAACATTTCTAGCATTCACTTTAAAAGAGGGCTATGTGCTAATCCACACTGAAACATGATTGCATTTGTATAGCATTTTTTACATGTTTTTGATGTAATGTCATAAAATGAAGTGTGTGTGTGTGTGTGTGTGTACATATATATATATATATATATATATACACACACACATATACAATGTTGCGAGCAATGTTTATCACTAGTATTTAGATAAACTATATTCCCTAGTTCCACTCATAACTAACCTTGATGACAAAGACCTGACATGCCATGAACATTATAGCAAATCACCCTCATTCTCTTTGTATTCAGTTGGTGAGATGTAAGTTCTACTCAAGCAAATTCTTCCCAGAAAATGCTTCTTTGGGGAAAGAATGCTTTTACAAACACTACAATCTTAGTCTGTTCAAAGCTATGGTCTTCCCCACATATCACCAGAAACTGTGCCTCTTACTCTGTCACTCTCTACTTTGAGAAGCTCTTGGCCCTTGTAACATATGAATGTTTAAAATTATATATATATATATATATATATATATAAAAACTTCTTTTTCCATGTATTTTCCTTTCTTGAACATAATTTCTATATCAACTCTATATATATATATATATATATATATTTCTATTTATATGAAATTATCTATATGTGTGCATTTCTCTATCAAATGAAAAGATGCTGCTGCTTAGCATTTGATTCAGATTCTCATAATCCCAATCCAATCTTTGTCACCGACAATTCCAAGTTCAAAGGTGAAAACTCAAAACCAAGGATTTTTTTCCCATTAGTCAAAGAAAAAAAAAAGTTTATGAACACAAGGAACCAATATTCCCCCCCTCACTTTTGTTTTTGTACACAGATGACTTAATACTTGCAACCTCCACTTGAAAATCAATATGTTTAATGAGTGTTGGAATGTCTTCAACAAACAAACAAAACTCAAACATTCTTACATAATTGTCTAACACACACAAAATTTGTATACACGTGTGTGCATTCCATGTCAAACTTGCAGAATAATTTAAACACCTACACACGAACGACAGAACATAAGCAACTTCATGTGTGTTCATACACAACTATATGCACTATTAAAACAATATTCTACAACAGAGCAATATTTTTTGGAGCAAACTCTTAAATGCATTCTTTTAAGTGTTGTCATACTATGTATGAAAGGTACAATTACCTATAGTCAGAAACTAAACAGTTTCAATCTATAGTAATTAACCATAATATGTTTCTCTTTATATACTGAGGTACACTTTGTTTGGATCTCTTTTTTTTTTACATCTTCATAAAGCAAGCTTGACAATGATTTAATATGTGTCAAAGCAATATTTAATGAAAACATAACTTATGCACAGGTACATAGAAATTAAAATGCATGTCATCCAAAAAGATGATGTGAAATGATTACCTTATTTTACAAATTATTCAGGGAAGCATCCTCACCTATGGTTCCATCAAAACATTTTGGTCTTTTTTCTTTCTTAGATAAAATCTATGCATAAAATTAACTCATTAAAAACTATTGCTTATTCCACTCTTCTTAACATGTAAACAAATGGGGATAGTATTATGATGTCATCTGTTAGAATCTTAATATATACTCTCTTGCCAGAAGAAAAACTCACACTTAGAAAGACACACAAGGAATTTT